GCATAGTGGACGATCTGCGACCGCTGTATGGATGTCACCTGTAGTTTCCCCCCCAATACCGATGACGTATCTACGACAGCGTTCCATTTGTGTCGGGCAGTGTGGACGATCTCTGATGGGGACCCCGACCAGCCGACCGACCGACCGACCGTTGGCGAGAGATGACTGACTCCAACCTTCTTGTTCCTTCAATCTGCTGGCAATGATGATGCATCCAGTATCCATTCCATCACCTGCGGCAGAAATACAGGAGGTTGTGGTTGTGGTTTCATGGGGGCTCCAATGTTTCTCTTACCCGACCAACCTCTGCCTGCGCGCTGATCACCTTGTTAACCTCGCAACGACGACCCTCAGAAAAAAAAAGACAGCAGGGGATGACTCGTGCGGCTGTTTTGTTTCGTTCGCCTCGCCGGACTATGTGCCGTATGCGACCTATGCAGTCAACTCTGTATGTGTGTTCGTCCAGTAACATCACCGTTGCCCAGCCGTTCCCAGCCCAGTGTATTCCAAGATTGGTGTTTGGCTGCATCAGGCTGGAGACACAGCGGCAGACACGGGAGAGAACAGGAACAGAGTTGCAAGATCAACAAGCGTGCTCCAGGTACCCGTAAACAATCAACAAAAAAAGAAGAAGGCTGCCAGACCGCCAGGTTGTGGGATACCGTTCCCCAATATTCCCAAAGCCACATGGGCTTCTCGCGACCTCACTGGTGCAAAAGGCAAACGCCTGCCACAAAAAAAACAGCCACCGGCCCCTGTGCCACGAATGCCACGCAGCGGAGTCTCGAAGCCACCAAAAAAACAAGCCGCAACCTTCAAGTCCAAGACTCTTGCGAAGACGATCATCTGAAAGACCGGAATCCCAACCATGGGATTTTCTGGAATTAGTGGAAACGTTCACTGGAGACGCCTGGAAAAACCTGGCAGGCAAACCACATCGACCGGTCGACCATGGCCCAGAACATCGTCATCTGCCATCAGCACTGGTTCCTCTCACACTGCACTGGCACCTCTCAGTACATTGAAGGTGACCTATGAATCCCATCCAGCGGGCAGTGAACCTGATGAGAGACGGGAGGGCTGATCGGAGTGGACCCACAACGCCAGGAAAGACCCTGCCACAGAATCCCCAGCGACGATCGCCCTGGTTGCTATTTTTGACTTTTTTTTCGCCGTGTGTCACTCTTCCACCCGTCAGCTTCTCAGCCACCACCCCTGACTGGGACAAAATGTTTCTCTGGACTTCACGGCACCGTTTTCAGGATTCAGCTCTTACATTCAGGCAGCCAATATTATCGCCAAAAGGCAGCCTTACGCTGTACCAACGTACGATTACAAAAAAGTATTGACGAGTACTCTTGGCATGAGAAGCCAAACGGCTAATGCAACCACGCCTCTTTGACCAGAGAAAAGAGCAACAGTCATCGTGAAACACCGTTCCCAATGCATCTAGACCTTTTCCCAGAACACACCACAGCGTAGCGCAAGGTATGGCGCGCGCAAAGATGCGGGGAGGCGTCAGTCAACGGAAAAGAAGGAAGACAGAAGAAGCCCAAGCACCACCCCCCAGTCTTCGTCACCTCACATGGTCGGTAGCTTGATCCGAACCGTCTACTCAAAATGCGCACAAACATTTCGCCTCCGCGCCCGGGTGGTTTGTCCCATCGCCTTTTCTCCAATGTCACATTCGGCAGAGGGAGAGTTATCAAGCCAACATCATCCACAGAAACTCCAGATGACATCGCCATCGCCATGACCCCCCATCGCCCAGAATTGCCCCACGGGAGCAAAAAAACGGTTCGTATTCAATTCGAGAGCGGCAGACTGCAAATAACTCGCGACCACGAACTCTTTCGCCTCCTTACGTGCCCCTGCCGGTCTAGAACCAATCGGTTCGGCGCTCCGACAATTTTCGTAGTTTTTTTTCTTTCCCGCTTGCGCTGAGCCTCGCCGTGCGGCGCACCAACCTGTCAAAACCACCACCCATGTCACCCGACGCCGGCACTTGCGCCCACATCCCTGAAGTGACGGCTCGCCTTCCCGTCTTGAAGAGGCCTTCTATCCGTAGACCGAGAAAAAGGAGAGGAGAAAAACTGCGGTTATGCAGTGTAGCTTAAACCACCGGAATGGCAAGGTATCACGGGTTGCGGGCGGACGGCCACCGCCGCGCCTCTCCCCTTTAAGGTACCTAGTCTCACGTCTGGCGAACGCCGAACCGTACGTTCGGTAGCTTGGCCAAATTGTCAAATGCCCAGCGGGTTTGCACTAGCACTGCCGTATTCCGTACCACGAAGGAAATGCGCAGCCCGCAGTCATGGAAGCCGAGATTTCAAAACTTGAGGCCCGAAAATAATGGTAAGCAAAAGACTAATGACCACGTCGAGAGTAAGCAGAATAATTGCAATCAGGCATTGAAAACGTTTACCCTAGTCTGCCGTATCTGAGCCAAATGCACGCCTGTAGCCATTTGTCGTCAAGTTGCAAATGGCTGTGAGCTACAGGGATGGTAGTTCGATAGAGCATAGACAAGTGGTTCAGACCATCGAGCATACGTAAACCGCATCACTAAGCCGGCGCTCGGGATCGAATAGAGGCAAGAGTCAAAGGTCTTGGACCATAAGTTCGGCGGTGTCCATGCCACAAGAGAATAAACCAGTCAACGGGTGCGTTTCTTGGGATAAAAGTCATGCTGTGGGGGAGAACCGACCGACCAACCAGCCGCAAAAGCCGCGTGGTGGTGATTTTCAGGGATGCCAAGCCACACTCCCCGTTCGTCTTGCCATTTGAAATGCTGTGCAGTGCGCATGCCGTGTTCAATGCTTTCCCCCATCAGACAGCAGTTCATCAATGCCTTGGTGCAATTCTTCGGATGCTGCTCTCATTGTCTTCATCTAATTTGCTTACTTTTGACATGGTCATCAGTCTTTGCCCATCACCATACTCGTCCCTCGAGTATTCGGGCCTCGGCTCCAAACACACGGCTCATCCTCATCTGCTTTACTCTGGGTCCGGCGCGAAGCCGGATTCCGAGCCGGCTGCTGCCTCCATGTCCTTGAGCGCCTTCTGGCCTTCTTCCGTCGTGGCATCGATAATTTGCTCCTCGAGACTCAGAATACCGGCCTGCAATTCGCAATCTCGTCAGTAAAACATGTCTCATCAAACAGAAGCGTTCGTATCGAAAGAAATGAAAAGAGCCCACTCACCTCGCTAAGCTTGCCGACAATGTCCTCCGCCTCGTCAACCTTCATGTTGCCGAGCACCTTGTTCACCTCGTCCAAGCTGCCGCTCTCGAGCGCCTTGCGGAACTCGGCGCTGAACCCCTCGAAAATGGCCCGGCCCTCCTTGACCGCCGGGTCCTCGCTACCTTCAGGCGGTATGGTAATCTTGATCTCCGTGCCGGGCTCCACGGCATGCAGCTGGATCTGCTCCACGCCTTCCGGCTCGTTGGCGCGCTCCTTGACAATCTCCCTCGCGCGGTTCCTGATCTTGCCGTACGTGTCCTGGACATCCTTGTAGAACACATCCTGTGCCTGGTGCCCCTTTGTCGTGATGCGCTTGAAGAACATGCCCACGCCGTCCTTGCCCAGCGCCCGGCAGTACTGCAGCAGCAGCGCCTGGTGTACGCACTGCCGGCAGTAGTCGTCCTTGCCCTCGAGGGCCGCGTCGAACGCGAGGACGAGAAGCCCATCCGTCTCCTTCTCCGTCAGAATCTGAGGGTTACTCGACAGATATGCGAGACTGGAAGAGTAGTCCGCGGCCTTGATCTGCGCAAATTTCTTCGCGGCGGGCGATGCCTCGATTTCCTCGTCGTCGTCGTAGGACGTCTTGGAGTCCTTCGGGGGAAGCGTCTGCGACATGTCAAAGTTGGGGTTGAGCAGCTCCGGCTTGCGCTCCGGCTCCTTGCCCTCAGACTTGGACTTGTTGACGTGCGAGCTATCGAAGCCCGTGTGGATGCCCTCGCTTGTGATCTTGCGGCCCTCCTCCTTTTCCAGTTCGGCAAGCTTGGCCAGCAGCTCCTTCTGCAGGCCCTGCACCTTCTTCAAGTGCCCCTCGACACCCTCGAGCATGCCCTGGTAGCGGTTCTCAGGCTTCTTCTCGTCCAGCTCCTTGTTGACCTGGTCGAGCAGAACGGCCATCATCTTGGAGAAGGTAGGCAGGGGCTCCGACTCGCTGTGGACGCCTTCAGGGCGCGGGGGAGGCTGGTCATCCTCGGGCTTGCCTGCGGACTCCATAACGGCCTGGAAGGCCACCTCGCCAGGGTTGCGCGTCTCTGCCTCGGAAGCGTGGGATTTCAGAGCTTCGAGCAAGCCCGAGATACGCTTCATGAGGCCATCGTTGATGATGCGCTCGTACTTGAGCGTCTCTATCTGGTGCTTCCGTTGTAGTCGTTCCTGGTGTATTTGGTTCTGTTTGGCACGAATAAACGAACGTTTGTCGACGTTGGGGTGCACTTCAACGTCCGAGTCGTCGCTGAGCTCCAACGCGTCCTGTGGAGGGTTCTTGATTAGCGGCTGAATGACTGCGGGGCACGAGGACTGCGCGACTTACCCATTTGCTGTAGTCGACAGGCATTTTGGCGGTTGTTTGGCGACGCGATGTATGTCGCCAGGAGGGCCTCTGTCGTTGTGGTTCAAAAAGCGCTGTGTCGTGGAATGTTCTGGATTTCGAGGGCAGGAGCTGGTTTGGCGCCACTACCTACGGAGCATCACAGGTGCGGGGCAATACCCCGCCGTTTAGTAGGCGCGTCACAGCTGCAGCCAAACAGCCCAGGGCAGCTATGAGGTCAGCAGGACCTGCGCTAAGGACGATAGACGGCTAGCGGAGACGACGACGGGGGACGAAGACGAACAGCGACAAGGGGAACAACGGCGACAACGAAGACAACAAGTAATGGAAGACAATAAAGAACACGCCAAGGAACACAGTCTCTTCAAAAGTTTTGTTCCCTTTTTTTTAGTCTGTTTTGTGTTTCTCTGGCACTTCAGAAAACTCGCTCTCTATCAGCGCGATAATTCAATGACTCTGCTGGGATCAAGTCCATCCTTCGCAACTCCTCCTTCGCGTACATATCCTCTCTGGTTGCTCAGCAATCGAACTCCCTGCACCACTTCATCCGTCGAATAATGTGTATGCCCAAACACCCAACACCGAACCCTCTCCCAGCCTCCTGCCCCCAATAGGTCCGTAGCAAACGCCGAAGACCAAATGCTGCCGCTATGCCTGGGCTCCGACGTCCCCTCCATCGACGGCGCGTGATGCGTGACTACAATGACCGACCTCTCCTCCGGCACATTACCCAATTCCCTCTTCAACCAAGTGACGTCTGCCAGATGCGCCTCGTTGTGGTCATCAACCGTCCATGCTTCGATATGTTCAAAGTCCTTGACTTTGGCCGTCACCGCCGCCCTGGCCTCGTCGGGAACCAGAGACCACAGCGTACATCCCAGAATCGTCACTAGCGAGCCGGGGGTGTCGAATCTATCGCGGTAAAGAATGTGAAGCCTCCCCTCCAGAGATGGCTCCGTTTCAAGCCGTCGCGCCCGCTCAATTGCGCTGTCGTGGTCAAGGCCGTGGAACTCGTGGTTGCCTAGGACGAGCACCACGCCCTCGAAGCGGTTCGTCTGACGGCGGATGAAGGCGAGGTACTCCTCGTAGTCGGCCAAGCTGCCTACGTCTCCAGCAATCAGGAGGTAGGGTGACATGGCTGGAAAGTCAAAGGTAGAATACTGGTTGCCAACTTCAAGGTGTAAGTCTGACATATACTGGATGAGCCCCTTCTGGGCAACGCCCATGTTGGCCATCTTGGTTCTGTGAAGTGTAATTTTCCAGAATCGACTTGAGAATTGCAACTACAAACAAATTGTCGAGAAAAACGGGTCTCGGATTGACTAACCCACAATCGAGAAGAAAATACAAATGGTCTCGACGATTTCAACGTTGATGATCAGAGTTATTGGGTAATTCGTAACGCTCTAAAGATGCATATTCAAGTGTGGCAGTTTTGCCCACCACTCCACCCTTGACTCCCTTTTTAGGAGTCAATACTATGTATGATATGATACATAAAGTTCGCACATACGATTTCGTAATGAATACAGCGACGCATAAGGCTTCTCGTGCCCTCAAACATAAGAGCATCCAAGTCGCTCTCGTCAAAATCTAGATGCCAAGCCAAACTCCGGGTCATTGATTCGATGGTTCCGTGTCTCATTGCATGGTTTTCAAGAAACCATCCAGGTCGAAACTCTCCTCGTACTGGCTGTTATCCCACAGGTCGCCCAGGTCATCAAGCCAAGCCTTCTTGCCGGGCTGCTTGCCTGTAACGACGTCACCCGTTTCGATATCCACCATGTCCTCTTCCCTGCCCTCCATTGCGTTCTTTGGTTTGTCGGATATTAGACTAGGTCCTGTATCTCCCAGGTTGAACAAGTCCAATATCTGATCTGTGTCCATGGTAGACAGGCCTGCATTCTGCTGATTGACGACAGTTGATGCAACGTCAATCTTGAAACGCTGGAGACTGAGAATCTTCTCCTCCAACGTGCCCCTGGTAATAAGACGGTAGACGTTGACAACCTTCTTCTGGCCAATACGATGGGCACGATCCATAGCCTGCATATCCTTTTGCGGGTTCCAATCATGCTCGACGAAGATGACCGTGTCGGCACCCGTAAGGTTGAGACCCAGACCTCCGACGCTGGTCGTCAAGAGCAACACATCGTATGATGGATCACTGTTGAACTTGTTTACAATGTCTTGTCTCTTGTTGGCTTCGACTGAACCATCCAAGCGCAGGTGAGAAACGCCGGGCAACATGTTCTTGAGGACGGTATTCTGGACCATATCCAGCATTTCCTTCATCTGACAGAAGATAAGGGCGCGATGGGGCTTAATCGGCTGGTAGAGTGGATCATTAGACTCAGCCTCTTCCACGCCAATGCCACAGTCGACAAGCAGATCTCTCAACGCAGTTAGCTTCGGAGCATGAACAGGGTCTTCGAGGCTAGTTCCCTGCTTGTTGAGGATGCGTTGAGTCTCATCGTACATGCTGTGCGTCGGCTTCATGACCATTGCTGGCGAGTTGCAGAGCTTTCGCATGTACTGGAGAGCCTGGAAAATGTGCGACTTGGCATCCTTGTCTTCGCGCCCAGCCTCTTCTTGGAGCTTCTTGCCTTGCTTCCTAGTAAAATCGTCGAACAACTTCTTTTGAAGATCACTCAGGTCGCAATAGTAGTTCTGCAAGATCTTTGGTGGCAGGTCATCAAGCACCTCCTCTTTGAGACGTCGCAAGAGGAACGGAAGTACCTGCTTGTGGAGTGCTTCGATAGCCAATGCACCAGCTTCCTGCTCCTTCGATGATGCCTTGCTGAAACGACTGGCGGCAATGGGCTTGGCAAACCGGTCCAAGAACACTTTCTCCGCACCGAGGAATCCCGGCATCAAAAAGTCAAACAAAGACCACAGCTCAAGAACGTTGTTCTGAATGGGAGTACCAGTCAGGATCAGACGGTGATTGCTCGCCAATTTCTTGACAGCAATCGTGATCTTTGCTTTGGGGTTCTTGATCAAATGACCTTCGTCGAGGATGACATAGTTCCAGTTGTACTTGGCGAGCACTTCTGCGTCGTTGCGGCAGACGTCGTAACTGGTGATGACGATGTCGGTCTTATCGAGATTGTCCTTCATCGTCTTGCGCTCAGCAGGCACGCCGACGTAGGCCGTGACGCTGAGGAACGGGGCATAAGTCTTGATTTCTTGCTGCCAGTGGCCAGACAGCGTAGGAGGGCACACGACCAAAGACGGAAGACGACGAACATCGGGAGCACCGGTTTTGGCGAACTCCTCCGCGCGATTGTGGTGATCACTGGCAACCATGCAAATGGTCTGCAGAGTCTTACCAAGACCCATGTCGTCGCAGAGAATGCCGTGGAGGTGATACTTGTTGAGGAAATGCAGCCAGTTTACACCATCTTGCTGGTATGAACGAAGTTCGGCCTTGATGGCGACGGGAATCTGGAAACTCTCCACCTTCTTGGGATCGAGCAGTTGCGAAATGAAAGTCCTTTCACGATCTCTACCCTTGAGAAGCTCTTCGGACAGACCTGGAGGATCTGGGATACCGGCCTCTAGAGGCACTAACTTGACCAAGGTGGCAAACGAGGTTGTTGCAATCAGACGAATCTCGTTGTCCGAATCACTCATGCGGCCGAGGACGGGGACGATGAGGAAGATGACATATGGTAGAATGGCGTCGCCCATCACGGCAATCAAGTGGTAGATGGCCTCGATAGCTCCCTGTCGGAAGTTGAGATCGACGGGGTTGCTTATGGATGGGAGCACCTTTTCGACAAGAGCCGTCATACCCTCCACAGTGATGACGCTGCAGATAGTGGCCATGCATTTCGCTGCCATATAGCGGAATACTGACAATTCGGAATGCAAGGCTTTGATCACCAGCGGCACCTTCTCCATGACGAACGGATGAATGGCTTTGTCGAGAGTTGGCATGAGAGTCCGGATGAGTGACAACGCGTCGACGATTTCTTGACCAAAGGTGTTCTCGGGGTCCCGTGCCTCGGCGGGCAAGTCGCCACTGAATGCCTTCACGAGAGGTTCTTCCATGAACGTTCTCACGGTAGGAACGGCCGTGAGTAGTTCGGCACCATACGTTCTGGACAGGATTTCAAGAGCCTCCTTGGCGCCACGTCTGGTGATGCGCGCCGCCTTGGCTTCCCTCGCCCACTTGGCTGCGTCTGCGTGATCAACTCGGTCTTCTTCCTTTTGCATGGAGAGCACGCAATCAGTCTTGGTTGCATGTACGGGGAATTCGGGCGTCTCCGCAACCTCAACACAAGAGAATTTGATGAGGTTGGAGACCACTTTGTCGGCAGGCCCGCGACGGCCCTTCTCATTGAACAGCTGGACGAGACTGGCAATCGTGGCAGAGGAACGACATTGAAGTTCCTGGTTTTCTTCTGTCTTGATGCTGTCCATGATTCCCTTGATGAGAGGACTCGGCTTCTTTGGAAGAACCTTGATCGCAACCAAAGCGCAAGCAGCAGCAGCCTTAATGCGCACATCCCGAGCTTCTTTGGCAGTCCTGGCGTCGGTGATGGCTGACGCGGCCACATCTCTGGCTTCCCCGAGCTGCTGGCTGGCCACCAAGCGTTGTCCGGGCGACATGGCCTTTTTGAGCTTGTCAAAGTCTTCGCCGACGACTTTGTCTGCGACGGCGATGGAGAAAGCACCAGGCCCAGCTTGCTCGTCTCCCTGAACCAGAACGGCGAGTGTAGGGAGTCTGCCGCTTGAGACCTTGCCATGATCGCGGAACATGTTGAGAAGTTGCTGACACTGGGATCGTACGCGATGCATGTAGCTGACTAGGTCTCCGTAATGAGAGGGCCGCTCCGCCTCAATAATCTTTTGCAAGGGTGCCACAAATCTCTGAGGTCCTTCGGCTGCTGTGTTGTTCTTGGCGTACTCGTCAATGACCATGCAAGCCGCAAGCTGCGTGGAGGCGTTCCTGTCTGCGAGACCACTGGTGATGAGCTCATCGTACTCTGCCATGTGGCTGTTCGGAATGAAGGACATGATCAGACCCATCGCCTTGGCAGCCGAAACTCGCGAACGGATGAGTGTATCCATGCCAACCAAGTCGACGTCGCCTTGGATCATATGGCCATCGACATCATGTGTATGCGTCGCGACGGGCGCGTCATCAGTCTTGGCAGACTTCCGGCGGCGCTTGGTGGCTCTTTCAGGACCCTCAGGAGATGATGCCTTGCGGGCGGGTGTTGCAGTGACTGCCGTGTAAGTGCCGCCTGAAGGTCTCTGGAAGAGATGCGCAGGCATGGGTAGGGGATGCCGTGACACACCAACGGGGTGCAGAGTTAGCCTCATCAATGGGTCGACGTGTGCCGCAAACTCATCGGCCAAAACGTCAGGAGTCTGCGAAAGAGATCGCACAAGGGCTGTCCACACATCAATAGACATATTCAGTGTCTCACGATCTCTCTCGACGAGGATGTTCTGGAAGATGAGGCGCAAGATCCTGCCATTGAGCCAGCCGCGGGAGTTTTGGGCGCCGAGGTTGGCGAATGTCATGAGCGCTTTCAACACGGCGAGTCGGACAGACGTAATTGTGTGTCGAAGGAACGGGTAGAGTCGCGGTACGAGCAGAGTGAACGAACGCTCTTCATCTTGCGCGGCGGATGTTTCCATGGCCTGTAGAACCTCGGGGTAACTGCAGAGCGTCGCAAGAAGGTCCATAATCTTGCCAGTACTTGCGCTCAGATCATCACCGAGATCCGCGAGACTTCCCCACATGATGTTGATGAGTCCGTCGATGGAGCCAGGGCGCATAGTGACGAATTCCTTCGCCATCGGCAAGAGCGTGGCAGCACTCACTGACCGGACATCATCATCGTGTTCCTCCAGACCCTTCATGACCAGACGTACGACTCCGTCAATCATCTCATTATCCTCCAAGAGCAGGTCTTTTCGGACAGCGACGACATATCGGAGACCGACCATGCCACCGTGGCAAACCGACCATTGGAGCATCTCCAGATGAAGATCATCTTGCATGACCATGCGATAGAGGATCTTGTAGATGCCGTGGACTGAATCTGCCGGAACGTGTCGAAGGACTGAGCCAAGGGATTGACCAATCGTTTCGCGAATTGGTGCCACGGAGGTATCCGAACTGTAGTCAGTGAATCTGTCCAACATCAAGACACAGCAGAGTCGGCAAGCCAAATCATCGAGCCAGGCCTGGTTCAAGCGGTTGTTCTCAGCCCGAGACTTGGATCGTATCCTGCCGGCTCCAGCACCATGCACACGAATTACTTCACGTATGCCCATCGCGGCTCCGTGCCGTGTCTCCCAGGACGGGTCGAAAAGATCCACCTTCAAGAAGTCGCACAGTCGGTCGTAGGGCCATTCAGCACCCTCCATGGTCTCGTCCGCCTCAATCTCGGACTTGATTGGAATCACGGGCCCCTTGAATTCGCTGACAACTTTTGACTCCTCGTCGACGTCGGCCGGTCTGTCCAGGTTGAAGTAGTCGTTGACCTTTCCATTCTTTTGTTTTGAATCGGCATCGGGCATCGGTGTATCGTCAAAGCCCTCTGAACCAGCGGTGGTCGTCCTCCTAATGGAAAGATCTCCAAATCCGCCCTTTCCTTGAGCGGCCTTCTGCAACTCTCTTTTGCGTTTTCTCTTCAGCACATTGAGTTGCCTTGAACTCAATCCTGCTTCCTCTGCCGGTTGACTTTGGCCTTGGGAGGCATTCTCCTTGCTTCCGTTGTGGCCGTTGGCTGAATCTTGGGGAGTCATGGGACTGTGGTCCTTCTCCACGAGGACGGGCATCTCGGCGTCCTCGAAGACCCTGCCAAGGAGACCTAGTCGTCCATTGAGAGTCTTCTTTTGGTGTGCAAGTCGTGCAGAGGGGTCTAATGAGGCCAAGGCGAAATCGATGTTGCCGCCTCGTAATAATTGTCGGCCATGCTTGATGATGTGTTCAACGTTGAGCGTCCCTAACTTCAGGAGCTCATCGGTAGCAAAAGATGGGACGTCCTTCTCCTCCTCCTTTTTCACGTGGCCGTTCTCCTCCGGCTCGTCTTTCTTGATTGGCGCGGAATCTCCTTCATCCTCATTTGGGTCATAGAGAGGTGCGTTTTCAATGATCTTGCCAATGGCCTTGGCAGCTGTTGATCGTGTCTCCCATTCCTTATGTCTAAGATAGGGGACAACTCTGGAAAGAAGGTTGAACAGCTCATCTGGGTGCTGCTTCTGCCAGTCAGCCAATTGATTGACAGCAGTGTCACGAATGAGACGGGTGCTCCCCGTTTCGAGAATCCTGCAAGATGTCAGCTATCTTCTGAACGACGAATATGGTAACCCCTTGAAAGATGGCTGTATCCTGCACGATCCACATGACGAGCGAGTGGAACGTGACAAGCGGATGTGCCTGGGTTGCAGTGAAGATTTACTCACGTGACCAATCTGTCAAGTCTGTGGTAACAAGGTTAGTGCTAGTTCTGGCATAAGATCGCGGGCGATCGCGATGATCGGATAGAAGAAAACGCACCTCGACGCCATCTTGTATTATGATGGACTTGATGGGAGTTTCATCATAGATTGGGCTTCTGCTGGCGTGTTAGCGGCGTCTCAAGGAGCCCGTTGTGAGTTTGTTGAAAGTGGATGAAGGGGGCATGGCGGGTAAATGGGTGTCGGCATGGATGGGGCGAAAAATAAAGAATGAGAAACGTGGAAGTCTAAACACGTGGTGTATGCCATCCTGACTTGCCCAAACGAAGGTGATGCACTTTGGGTTGAGTCTGAATCATGACAGCTGGGGAAGCTGATGGAGGTGGGATGACACGGATAATGGAATGCGTTTGCGGTACACGCATGGAGACATGCCGGACCGAGCGATCCAATCAGAAGGCGAATATTGCAGAGATATGAGAGAAAGGGTGTGGCGTGCAGATGTCGGGGTAGAGCAGATGCCGGCTAAGAGAATAAGATACGTACCTGTCTCTAGAGCAAGCGGGTGGGAGTGATGAGCATCAGTCTGGATGGGGCCAGAGAGCAATCGCGATCCCGTCCACTGCGGATCAGGCCGAGTCTTGTTTAAGAACAAGCGGCTACCTTGCATGCATCGGGCAAGCAGGATCCAATTGATGTCGCCGTGCCGGGTCGAGTCGGACTTTTAGACCCGAGACCGAGAGATGGCAGCAGTCGACAAACTAGTTGATTGCAAGTTGTCGTTGCGATGCAAGCGTGATGCGCACGAGAATCGATTGGTGATGGTGATGATTCGAGGTGGGTGTGTCTGTTGCGCGCACGTGGTGATTGCAGACCGGGGCGAGGAAAGAAGGCACCGGGAGAGGTGAGGCTCCAGAAGGCAAGAAGGACGACGCCTTAAGTGGGAAGGAAGCGACGCGCCTTTGGGTGGATAATTGGATGCAGTGGCGGGCAGGTGCGAGGCGGGAATGCAGTGCTGCTGCTTGTTGGTGCTGCTGTGGTGGCCTAAGGATAAGGGATCTCAGCTGCAGTTGCCTGTCGTGGTGCTGTTGGTTGCCTGTGGTTCTGGCTAGGCGTGGACCGTTGAGCCAATCAAATGGTGCGATCCGAGGCTGGATGGGGTCCGGTTGAAAAAGGGCAGCACCTCTGGTGGCCGCGGGACTGCGCTCTGGAGGGAAAATTTGGGGTGGAGGGGCCCGGACAGTCTTAAAGGTATGCCTGCAGTACTTTTATAATTACCCGTGGGCCCGTGAGAGAAAAAAAAATGGAAGGAAAGCCAGCCGTTCCTTCACGCAGCGACGGTGTCTCGCTTAATTTCCTTAGCGTCATCTAGCGCCCCTGGTCCGCCTCCACTCCCCAGCAAACAATAACCCCTGCCGGCTGCTGTCGTCGTCGTCCTCTCCGGCCTCCTGCCATTTTGCATCTGTCCATCCAGTGCCTCTGACCTTACACTGACACTTCGATTTAGAGGTGTGCCTCGCTGCCTCATGTCACCACCTATCTCATCGTCCCTTTTCATCCAACCTGCACCCCTTCAAATCGAGTCCCCTGTCTTGCTACCATTCGCAAGGCAACAACACACCGCGGCTTACAACCAGCTTTGCGCCTTAGCTCAATTTCTCATACATCAGGGTACTGTTTAGTCGCATCGTGAGTTTGCAGAACCACCTCTACGACGCGACTGCTATCTTAATCCACTTCACAGTTTTCAAGCGTCATCAAATCCAACCACGATGCCAATACTTTGGTATCCTTGGCGCCACCCGCCAGCGCCAGATCTGATAAAGGTTGAAGATAATGGTGCATATTTGAAGCTGGCGAACAGTCCAGCAGCCTTGCCGCTCGACTGACACCAACGGTTCAGACACGCTTTGGAAAAAGCTGAGAACGGTATAATCAGCGTTTCACACACATACCTTTAAGAGCCTTGAACCTTTCTATTTTGAGTTTGTTCTGTCTCTGCCATCATCCCCATGTTCAAGGTTCCCGCTCGGCACTTACCACAGCGACAGAGCCTATCACGATGCTCGCCCACCGCTAACGTGCTATCTCTGAAAACTGCGAATCGGAGTCCAGTTTCCGCATGTGTCATCATGTCCTTCTCCCTTGCGTGAGGTGACGGGTGAGCTTGCCTCAATGTCTTGACTTTTCTTGGACTAGACGAGACCCAACCCACGGCAGATCTTTTAGAGTCTCTCTGGTTGACGACCTTCCGCACATACCAGGCGTTGCCCCCTTGACAACGGAGCGTGATTTTTTCTTCATTAACGGGGGCTAAGTGAGCAAATGCCTGTGAATGATACCGACAGGCTATGTCAACGGACGGCAGACTATACGTCTTCCATCGCATCTGAACAACAAGTCAGATTGGATAGATCTGACCGTAGCTGTTAACCCGAGCCTGCGATTAACATACCAGGCTACCCCTTGGAGACTAGCCCGGACAGGCACTTCACCTTAGGTACACACAGACAGGATGCATTTTTCGCCCTATTGGCAGCATTGGGCAGTAGGCAGTCTCTCACCATATCGTGCCTCCCGAAAATCCGACGACTGGACTGAAAGAGATGATAGATGATCCTCTGGTTTAGATGGATCGATGGATTGAGTGTCTATTTTGATGGACGAGATGGATGGGAGCCGGATTGGCGGCGATGGGCGGGCTGCGGATGCGGATGCGACTATTGCTGGCACTGGCGATGCAGGAGACGGCGCGAGGATCATCACAGGCATAGCTAAGGCAGGGCGTGCAGCTGCGGCCACGGCCAGTCCTGGTTTGATGCCTCGAACTGGAAATAAGCTGGTTCGGCTGGCACAAAAGACGTGGGGTAAGGTTGGGAATCTTGGCAGTGCCGCAGGGTCCCAAGTTTTTGGCGTTCCAGCGGCACGCCATCTCTGATTCGTTTTGGGTCATTCTCTTTTTTTCCCTTCTTCTCTGTCTACCCATCCTCTCCTCTCGAGATTTAGAGAAGCTTGGTGTTGTCGGAGAGTATGTGGCCGACGGCCAATTCCTTTGGCTGTCTAGTCGCTGCTTTGCTGTGTCGTAGGGTATCACTGACATGGAAGTGACAATGGAACCAGCCAGTGCAGTTCAGACTGCCCCGATTACGATGGCCTCATTTCACATCGAGCTCCGCCTGTCCCGTCCGTCCCTGGTTGTTCCAGGGCGACCTGGAATGTCTTACCCGCCTCGGCCATTCTGCCCCTGCCTCTGTCTCTGTCAGTTGTCATGCCCTCTCTCTCGCTCTCTCTTTTTCTCCAGAACTCGGTCTTCCCTCTCTCGTTTCCCCCCATAATAGATTGCGTTTCTACATACACAGATTCTTGGTTGGGGCTCCAGCAAGTGAATCGCCTCAACTTTGGCAGCTGTGCCGACACCTTATCCAGCTGCAGTGATACGTGGTCTCTCAGCCAGTTGTTGGCAGGGAAATGTACCTTACGTGGACGCTGTATCGACCAAAATGGTCAGTGCGCGTAGCTCGACAGCGACCCGACCGGGGTGCATATGGGATGGATCCAGCTCTATCCATGTTGAAGCTCAAACTAGTCGTTGATCGCCCGGTATCATGAATGCTGCTCAGGCACACCGACACGCTCACGCGGTCGCCCGGCGCACCCACAGTCTAGCACCTTTCCCGACCTTGAGACACAGACAGCTCTCTGCATGCGCACTGGCGCCGGCTCTGGCAACCAGATGGAGGCCAACGCGGAAGTGTCGGATCACTGCGCTGAACCCTTACGTGAGCTCCATGGACCTCCGCGTCTCCTTCGCCAGCCCCCGGAAGACCTGCCATGCTACCCAAGAGCGGTAGCTCGTCAGGGACGCCTCCACACTCAACCATCCATCACCCACCGGCTGCAATCCACCCTCCTCTGGTAATGGCTGTCTCGGCGAGGATGGTGGCAGGTATTCCTCTGACGAGTCTCTGGTATTTAAGCGGAGATTCGCGGACATATCTGCCGGAGTCAGTCATCCCAATGCGACGAGCACTATGGTCGGCGCGTCCGACTCGGACCGCAGTTTCAACCACCGACTGACGAATTCTCAAGCCCCCAGTCTGGCCATTTCAAGGTTCGTACGACCACGAGCGCCGTGTTCCAGTGGCTAGGTAAGGTAGTTTACAATCAGGCTGAGCCAACGAACGACCGAACGGCCGCAGCCGCGTGAAAGGTCAGCCAAAGCCGTGGATAAGCTTAGAGAACAACCAGACGAATTTGAATTTGCCAAGATCGAGTCAGCGTGCCCGCGAATGACGGGGTTTTCCTCTCTTCAGGTTACCGAGAGAGGAAAAGCAGGGAGCAGCAGCCAAAACAAGCCGTCTCGGTACTTGAATACTGCAACAAGAAAAAAAAAAGCCGTTGTCAAATCCGACTCAAAGAAAATCCCATCTGCGGCTCTTGAGCCACTAGTAAGCAGTGGTTATTAGGCTCCTTAAGCGGGACGGGATGAGCGTCGTGCAACCGTCTGGCCGGGACGTTTACATGGCCGATTAATATACAAACCCGGGGTAGAGTCACAGTATATGCACTGTCTCGCACGAGTTCCGCACTGTCCATTCAAGCCGGGCACTTGTTCCTCAGGCACGCGCGACCTGCCAAATGAGCGCACCCCAGATTCGACGCGCCTGCATCTCACGTCGAGGGTATCGCGGTTCCCGTCCCAGACGCGTCAATCCCCACCATCACCAACAACCCGTCGCAGCTCCTGGGCAAACCGATGAAAATCTTGCGCGACGCTTGATCGAGCCCGTCAGCGACTTCAACCGCGCAATCTCGCTGCCCTTGAGGCCGCACCCTCTCCGCAACCATGTACATTAAACAGATTATCATCCAGGGCTTCAAGAGGTTTGTGCGCCCCTTGCGACAACAATCGCCCAACCTCACCCCGCTGACCCGATCGCAGCTACAAGGACCAGACCGTCATCGAGCCCTTCTCCCCCGGCACGAACGTCATTGTCGGTCGCAATGGATCCGGCAAGAGTAACTTCTTCGCCGCGATCCGCTTCGTCCTCAGCGATGCCTACACCCAGATGACCCGCGAAGAGCGGCAGGCCCTGCTGCACGAAGGCTCCGGATCCGCCGTCATGTCGGCGTACGTCGAGATCATTTTCGACAACAGTGACGAGCGCTTCCACGGCGGAGGCAAGGAGGTCATTCTGCGCCGCACCATCGGAACCAAGAAGGACGAATACTCGGTCGATCGCAAAGTCGTTACAAAGACCGACGTCATCAACCTGCTCGAGGCGGCCGGCTTCTCGAGGTCGAATCCTTACTACATTGTTCCTCAAGGTCGCGTCACGGCGTTGACGAACATGAAGGAGTCCGACAGACTCACATTGTTGAAGGAGGTTGCGGGTACTCAGGTCTACGAAGCGCGTCGAACCGAGTCGCTGAAGATCATGAACGAAACGAACAACAAGAGAGAAAAGATTGACGAACTTTTGGGTTACATCAAGGAGCGTCTGGCCGAGCTGGAGGAAGAGAAGGAAGAACTTCGAGGCTTTCAAGACAAGGATCGCGAGCGCAGGTGTCTCGAATATGCGCTTTACTACCAGGAGCAGCAGCAAATTCAGGAACAACTTGACCGCATCGAAAACATTCGTCAGAACGGTTTAGAAAACACTGATTCGATTCGATCAGAACTGAAGGAGGCCGAAAAGCTTGTCACCAAGTTTGAGGCCGAAATTCACAAGCTGAGGAAAGAGATGGATATGGCCAAGGTCGAGCGCCGCCAACTCGAGGAGGATCGTCGTGAAACGGCAAAGGCCAAGGCGAAGGCAGAGCTGAAAGTCAAGACGTTGTCTGACGGACAGTCAGCGGCTGTGCAAGCCCAGCAGCAACACGAGGCTGACCTCGCAGCGACCATCGAGGAGATCTCCGCGAAGAAGCAGGAACTCAACAGCATCGTCCCGGAGTTCATCAGACGAAAGGCCCAGGAATCGGAGAAGAAGCAGCAGCTGGACACTGCCGAAGCTGCACGGAACCGTCTGTTCACCAAGCAAAGCCGTGGATCCCAATTTAAGAACAAGGGCGAGCGTGATAAGTACTTGCGAGCCGAAATCGAGGATCTCCACTCTAGACTCATGAGCCACAAGGCGAACAAGATGGAGGCCGACGAGGATGTCACCAGAACCGAGAACGCCATCAAGCAACTAGAAAGTGAGGTTGCCAATCTCAGAGAGCAGCTGCAGAACTTCAACGGAACTCGCCACGAGCTTGCAGAAGAAGAGCACAAGGCGAGGGAGATTTTGGACAAGCTCGACGATGAGAGGAAGGCGCTAGTCCGTCAGGAGGAGAAACTCGACACCGTTCTGTCGGATGCGCGACAAGAGAGGGAGCGCGCAGACCGCGAGCTCAGCACGATGATGGACAGAGACACCGCTCAGGGTCTTGCTACCATCCGTCGACTGAAGGCCACCGAGGACCTCCCTGGTGCCTACGGGACGATGGCTGAGCTGCTTGAGGTCAGCGACACCTACCGACTTCCTGTCGAGCAGATTGCCGGCAACAGCTTGTTCCACTACATTGTGGACACCGACCAAACGGCGACATACCTGACCAACCACCTGCGCTCATCATACGGCGGTAGGCTCACATTCATGCCGCTCAACCGGCTTCACCCAAGGCACATCAACATGCCAAGATCTTCAGACGGTATCGTCTCTCTCTTGAGCAAGATCAACTACGATCCCACATTCGAGAAGGCATTCCAGCAAGTATTCGGCAAGGTCGTCGTGTGCCCGAACCTGAGCATAGGAGGCCAGTACGCGAGGAGTCACGGCGTCGATGCTATTACCCTCGACGGTGACACGACCAACAAGAGAGGTGCCATGACTGGTGGATACATTGATCCCAGGCGATCTAGGCTCGAGGGAGTTCAGGCTGTCAGCAAATGGCGCGATGAGTACGAACGTCTGCTTGAAAAAGCCAACGAGTTCAGGACCCTGATCGAGCAGAAGGATCAAGAAATTACCCGCGCCTTGGGTGACGTCCAGAAGGCTGCGCAGAAGCTGCGGCAACTGGAGGCTGGCTTTGATCCTTTGAAACACGAGCTGAACAACAAGAACTTCCAGCTTGAGCATGAGAAGAAGCGCTTGAGCGACGCCCTGAGACACCGCGAATCAGTTGAGCGGGACATGAGGGTGTTCACCGAGAGCCTGGCAGCTGATGAGGCTGAATTGGCGTCTGATTTCAAGAAGGCCCTCAGTAACGCTGAGGAGAAGCAGCTGGTTGAGTTGGACGCTCAAGTGCAGAGGCTCCAGAAGGAATGGAACGATGCCAGCAAGAAGAGACGTGACGCCGAAAGTCGGAAGCAAATTCTCGAGACAGACATCAACCAGAACCTGCAGCTGCGTCTTGATCAGCTGAACAGCGCCGCTTTCGAGAACAACACTTCGTCTGGCGAGTCCGGCAGTCTTAAGGAGGCTCAGCGCGAACTCAAGAAGCTCCAGAAAGAGACCAAGGCAATCGAGGCCAAGATGCAAGAGATTGAGGCTAGAATTGAAGAACTTGGTTCAAAGCTCGACCGTCGGGAAGCCAAGAAGGCGGAACAGGAGGAGATCCGCGCCACGGTCGCTGCAAGGGAGGCCAAGCAGCGCGGTGCGATCGAAAAGAGCATGTCCAAAAAGGCTGTGTACACGGCGCAAGCTGCCGATGCTGCGAAGGCCATCAGAGACCTTGGCGTTCTGCCTGAAGAGGCCTTCGACAAGTACGAGAACATGGACCCGCGACAGATCGACACCAGGCTCAAGAAGGTCCGCAACGCGCTGAAGAAGTTCCAGCACGTCAACAAGAAGGCTTTCGAGCAGTACAACAGCTTTACTCAGCAACAGGATCAGCTCCTCAAGCGTCGCAAGGAACTCGATGCCTCTCAAGAGTCCATCGAGGAGCTCGTTGCCCACCTTGATCAACGTAAGGATGAGGCTATTGAGCGTACATTCAAGCAGGTGTCCCGCGAGTTTGCCACCATCTTCGAGAAGCTCGTGCCGGCCGGACACGGTCGCTTGGTTATTCAGCGCCGTACCGACCGTCGTGTGGACCCCGACGAGTCTGATGAAGAAGCTAGAGGCAGTGTCGAGAACTACACTGGTGTTGGTATCAGTGTGTCCTTCAACTCCAAGACTCTCGACGAGCAGCAGAGAATCCAACAACTCAGTGGTGGTCAGAAGAGTAAGCCAACCCTCGTCCCTTTGCTGACCCAGTTACTAACTTGCCAAATCAGGTTTGTGTGCCTTGTGCCTCATCTTCGCCCTCCAGCAGACGGAGAGCAGTCCCATGGTCATCTTTGACGAAGTCGACGCCAACTTGGACGCGCAGTACCGTACCGCCGTCGCCAGCCTTCTCCAGTCCATTTCTCAGGACGCCGGCACGCAATTCATTTGCACCACTTTCCGTCCCGAGATCGTTCACGTCGCCGACAAGTGCTACGGTGTGACTTTCCACAGCAAGACGAGTTCCATCGACTGCGTTCCTACAGAGGAGGCCCTCAGCTTCGTCGAGGGCGTTGCCGCCGGCAAGTAGACTGTGGGTATTGGTGAAGTTGTATGTGGCACTGCTCGTAATATGGGTATGAGGAAGCCGGGCTCATCTGGGAAGTGATGGGGTCAACCGGGCATGGCGTTGCGGCGATTTGCGGTGGATGGTTGGCTGATTGATATCACAAGGCTTGTTTACCTTTGAGGAGTGTTCTCCTGGCTGCCATGTCAATGTGGCAGAATGACTTTGTCGTAGACTTGTGCTCGTTTCACGGCTTTATAACGACTTTTTACTGTGTCATTTGACGTCTTTCTGTGTCTTTGTGCTGTGCCCCTTGGACGCCTCGCAACGGTCCATGTACGTTGGGGAGATGGGATTGAAAAACACCAACTTCTAGGTGCTTCCATTGCCGTCCAAAGGATGTTTTTGACAATTCGGACCCTCCTCTTGGCGCTTCCTTGTCCAATAGGCACAAGGGCCGACAACACACCATCTACATCAAGTTAGACGAATCGGATTGTATAATTTACGAGTAGTTCGTCAACTGACACTAATTGCAGTTTTCAGCCCAGCATACCATGGCTTCACTAGCAAACCTTCCGAACGAGCTTCTAGACGCGATTCTCCTCGAGATTCCCACCGCCGATCTCATCAGCCTTTCACAAACATGCCGGAATCTACGCTCAGTCTCTCTGCCCCTGGCTTATCGCGATATTGCCATCACTTCGAACGGCTCGACCAATGATCGCCTACCAAGAATTACCTTGCTTCTTCGAACCGTCCTGGAGAGCCCTCACCTTACAAGATACATCAAAAGCGTGCGGCTGTTTACAGGACAGATGCCTTTAGACACTTTGGCCCCTGAGCGGGCGGGTGTTCTCGCCAAGTGGACCGGTCCTCCGCTTCTTGCCAGCGACATGAGCGACGCGTTAGTCAGGAAAGCCGTCCACGGGATGCAATCCTCGCGTGCTGCAGAATGGATCACGGCGATCTTCGATGGCGACCTTACCGCCGCCTCAGCACTGATCCTGGCGCAATGTGAACAGCTGGAGAGTCTGACGGTAGACAACGAATTCGCCTGGCTGGGAGCCAGGTGGCTGACGGCGCTCTTCCGCAATGGACTGGCGGCTGTGAAGGACGACCCTCGCCTGCCGACGTTCGGCAACCTCACAAAGCTTGGCGTCACCTCCTATCATAGGTGGGATATTTCTCACTATTGGGATCACATTCCGAAAGAGCTCTTCATGCTGTCCTTATATCTGCCCAAGATCAAAAGCCTGCGTCTGGGGAGAACTCCTCGAATCGATGCCTGGGATGAAGACGCTCAAAGCTCCGACGTCGCGTGGCCGTTTCCTGCGGCTCCCAATGCGGCGAGCCTGACAAGCTTACGTCTCGATCGCTCGGCGGCAACTTTCAGCAGCATCAAAGCATTGCTAAAGCAAACACCGAGTCTCAGATCCCTCTACTTGGACAGCTTCATTCCCGAGTCGTATATCCAGGACACAACTGTTCTGCGGCAAGCACTCCGTCATGTAAGGAGCACGCTGCTGCGTCTGACAGTCAAATATAAGATTAGCGACGAGGACTACCCCGACGCTGTCAACTTGAGCGTCTTAGTTAAGGGAAGCCTCGACTCTCTGCGGGACCTCGAGGTGCTAGAGGAGCTGAACATCTCTCTATGTGTCTTCTACGGCCAGGACAGAGACTTAGAAGCGCTGCCGCCACTGTCAGAAGGTATGCCCCCGAAGCTCAAGCGTCTCACTATCAACGACAGTTTGTGGGGCTTCGTCGCCTTTGAAGCATGTCCGAGCCAGGTCTACGTGCCGCTGCTGGGGCCGTTCCTGGGCGGCGGTTGGAAAACTGGGACTCCGGAGCTGCAGGAGTTTGCGTTGGACGCGGAAAGGATACGCGATGAATATGGTGGCGAGTTCGCGCGCGGCATGCGGAGACTGCGCAATGTTTGCGAGGAACAAGGGCTGAAGTGTAGTCTTCCTGGCCACATCGATCTTGATAGTGATGATGATGAGGAGGAGTGCGACGACGACGATGATTCTTTGTATGAATGGATATGATTCTTGGTCTCCTCATTACTTCCCCCTCAGCTGTTGAGAGGAAGTTGGCGATTGGCAGCACGCCGTTCAAGCCTTAACGGTTGAAGAATCTTCACTTCATTCATCAAGAACTCTGGCTAGATGGCTCCATAACATCTAGCGAGCATATACACTTGCCATGACAGCCTCTTGAACAGGCCTCGATCAAGGTCCCAGGCTCATCCGACGGCTGTTCCCTGAGGGCCAAAAGCCGTTTATGCCTATCTTCCTGCCTAAGCCGCAGGCCAGCAGCGACATTCATACGCTCATCTATGACCTGCTAAAGCCTTCGTTATCCTATACTCATATACTTCATGCGAAGCTTCTTTGTACTTTGTTCGTCATTCACCAGTCTCAGGGTCACAGAGATGCGTCACTAGCCCTTGCTCTATGAGAACGCAATCGGCCAGACAATTGTAGGCCTTGAATGAGACCACAGCGAAAATTCGACTTACAGAAATCTTTGTTATGTGCATTCGCAGTGTCTATCGAAGAGCCCTGCCAACTCCATGACCTACTGCCTCAGAGCGATGGGTAAATGAGAAACACGAGTCACAGACAGCAAATATGCGCATTTGTCTACTCAAGTAGTCGTTTCACTTCCGCATGGGAATATGACTGAGTCGTTGCTGAATAGTAGGCGTCATCTATGACCTCGTACAAGCGCTCGCGGGCTAGAGCATACATCTCACTGAAAGAACGTTGTAAACTTGGTCTATGTAAATACATCCGAGTAAATGGATGGTTAATGACCATCAAGGTATGTCCAGTGAGATGTGTTGAGGTCGAATCTCTCTATCTGAAACTTCGAAGGAGCTCCTGGAGATTAGTTATGGGTGAGTACACTCTTCACTGAGGTTTTCCGCCATCTATAGGTCACGTTCTAAGCTCAAGAATGTAGCCAAGACCCAATCTATTCCGGGCGATGAGAGGGGCCAGGACATCGAGAATGCACCTAAACTCATCGAAAAGTTTTGTAGATAGCGGGAAAGAAACCTGTGTACATTATCTTGAAACATGAAGTCGATTGTGAACGCAGGAGAAACAAATGAGCTGTGGGCGCCATCATCGGGGCCTCACATGCGGTGCAGGATACCGCCACAGCATCCAATCTCCCCATTACCTCAAATGGCAAATTCCCAGAAGTTTCGATGGCAAGGGATGTCCCATGAACACAGGAGTCCACCGGCCAGAGTCCCGCGAACGCCTCCAGCACGGAAAACCACAGTCGACACCGTGGCGATACGAGAGGTCCCTCGCACAGCCTGAACGTCAGCACCGGAGAGGGGCGGATCTCCAAACAACCCTCCAGGGATCCACGAGGTTGTCAACGTCTTTGGCCACGAACATGGATTCAGGTTCCTCAAAGAATCCTCAACGAAAAAAAACATCCATCCTTTCCCGCTTCCAAAGCACGCAATATGCCGTTCTCGGGCACAGTGTTCGTTCGGTCCCGACTCGTCGACACCGATTGGCCGTGAAGGGTGTCTGAACGACGGAACGCCGTGATTCCTTCCCGTCCTTCACGTATTCCCTCTCCAGACGCCGTGTTCTTCAACACGAGGGCAAGGGGTAAAAAGAGAAATCCCAAATCTCAAATCCCATAACGCATACACCGGACTTTCCGAGAGCCCAAAGCACTGCATACGCTACACAACACGACACACACCTGCTTTTCGCGACGTTGAGAATCCCGGGAAACTTGCTCTTCCCACGAAATATCGTCATCATCCGTCCCTTCCCACCCCCCCCTCCGAAAGACTTCCTGTACGAGACGGATCAACACTGACCACCCCGAGATCCGCACCTCCCCAACGTGAGGCAGAATGCTCGACTCGTCCAACACCTCCTGAGCGAGGTCGGGGCCAGGCGGATGTCGGCGGAGGCGAAATTGCTGACTGCGATGGGGGGGGGCGGGATGGTGGGAACTCGGGCCAACTCGACTACTCCTTCAAACTTCGGCCGGAGGAAAGAAGAGTAGCGGAGTGGGAAGGGGGAAAAAAAACAACTGCCCAACGCATGAAAGGTCCGGGAGCCCACCCACGCACGACTTGCAAAACAGCCGGAGTTGCGAATCATGTGACGAGAGATAAGCGCGGCGAACCAGCCAACTGGAGTTTGCCCGAGAGAAGGAGACTTCCGGGAGTGTTCGTAAGCTTTTGGGGACAGGGCGGAAAGACCAGACAATGCCTCGCCGGTTGCGCCCAGCTTTTTCCGTGTTGTTTGAGACCAATCCGAAGAGAGAAGCGCCCCAAACCTTGTGAAGTTAGTTGCTGTTGTGTTAGTTTGGGAATACCAGTTGTCAAGTCACAGGTCACGATGCAAGAGGGAACAGGTATGTTTGTTTAGAACATAGAAAAATTTGATTCGATTATCCGACCGACCCGACCAACGCCAGAACAATGGTCTTTTGTTACAATTAGAAAAAATCGGGGGCCATTAGTGACAGTTGTGATGTACGCAGTATTACCGAAAGCGCGTCATCTAGTAAACCCCCTTTCCACCCCCTTTGAACCTTTTCTTCTTCTTCTCTCTATGATGTGACGAAAAAGATGTGTTTTTTGAACCCAAGTTAAAAGAAAAAAGTAATTTGCAGAATGCTGTGGTTGGGAAAAAGACGCTCTTGCTGAAGTCATGTCTCTTTTCGCACGCTCTTCTGACGCTTGACTCTAAATTTGCGAGATCAATGCGGTTTAACCCTCCTCGACAACGGTGCGGTTGGCAATGTAGAACCTCTCGCCCTTGTCGTCCTTCTCGTGCTCGAGGGCGACCTTGCTCAGCTGAGTGAGGACGTTCTCGATCATGGTGTCGGTGACGCTGCGCTTCTTGCGGCCCATGTCGTTGAGGCTCTGCATGTTGGTCATGATGTAGTAGACCAGGGCCATGACGATGGTGACGGCGACGGAGTAGACGAAGACGACGCAGACGGTGACGAAGTCGGTGCGGCCGTTGTCGGACAGGAAGCGGTTGAGCGACGGCGGGGAGGCGGGCTCGCCGCGGCCGCCGGAGAACCAGCCGAAGACGCAGAAGAGGATGGCGAGGACGTCGACGGCGGCGATGGCGCCGATGAGCTGGAACGAGGGGAAGGTCTCGAAGCCGCGGGTGACGAAGATGAGCCAGTTCTGGGTCAGGGTGATCTCGAGGAAGAGGATCTCCTGGATGGAGCCGTACTCGTGGATGACACCGCCGTCGGTGAGGTACATGGTGCCGCGGAGGACCCAGGTACCGCCGGCAAGGAGGGCACCGAGAACGATGGAGATGATCCAGATCTTGGGCAGCTGCCACTCGACGGGACGCTTCTCGAAGTGGGCATTGTCGTACTGTAGTCTTGTTAGATATTGTACGGTAGTGTGAGAATGTGCAAAGTGCACTTACAGCAACGGCGATGGTGGCCAAATCGGCGAAGAGGGCGAGGAAGACAATGAGGTCGGCGCGAACAGTCTCGTTGATGATGATCATGGAGGAGACGAGGTAGATCTCAAGATGCAAGCAAAGAGCGATACGGTACTGGATGTAGGCCTTCATGCGCTGGAAAATCTGGCGGGAGAGCTTGATGGCGGAGACAATGGTGGAGAGACCGGGGGCGAGGAAGACGATATCGGCGGCAGCCTGGGCAGCCTCGGTGGCACCCTCAACAGCAATACCGCAGTCGGACTTCTTCAGGGAGGGGGCATCGTTAACACCGTCACCAGTCATGGCAGTCAAGTGACCACGCTGCTGAAGCATCTCGACGACCTGGTACTTGTGCTCGGGGAAAACCTCAGCGAAACCATCGGCGCGCTCGCAAAGATCGTGGATGGAAGTGCCGGCCATGTCGGAGTGGAGGAGCTTGTCGGAGTTGTAGACCTTGGTGCCGAGCTGGAGCATGCGGCAGGTTTCGACAGCGATAGCGTGGGCGTCACCAGTAAGCATCTTAACCTGAAGACCGAGAGCCTGGGCCTCGAGAATGGTCTGGCCGGTGTCGGAACGAGGGGGGTCGAAGAGGGACAGCATGCCGAGCATCTCCCAGGGGCCATCCTCCTCCTTGACGGCGACGGCGAGGGAACGGAAACCACGGCGGGCGAACTCAGCGGCCTTCTCCTTGAACAGAGCGGATTGCTCCTCGGTGCAGTCGGTGAGAGCGAGGACGGCCTTGGGGGCACCCTTGGCGCAGGTGTAGCGGACTCCACGGTGGGTGGCGATGGTGGTGATGCGCTTGGAGACGGGGTCGAAGGGAGTGAACTTCTCGGTCTTCCAGCCGTCGGCGATGAGCTCCTTGGCCTTCGGGTAGCGCTTGAGGGTGAGGACGGTGATCTTGTCGATGGGGTCGAGGGCCTTGATGTTGTGGGAAGAAGCGAGAGCGGCGACGGCCATCATCCAGTTGATGTCAACACCCTCCATGACGAAAGGCTCGCGGACGGAAAGCTGGTTGGCAGTGAGGGTACCGGTCTTGTCAGAGCAGAGAATGTCGACACCAGCGAGGGACTCGATAGCGGTGAGCTTCTGGACGATAGCCTTCTCCTCGGCGAGGTAGGCGGCACCGACGGCGAGAGTGGTGGTGGTAACGCAGGGCAGACCGATGGGAACACCGATGATGAGGAGAATGAGAGCGTAGTGGAGCAGGTTGACGGAAGAGCCCTCCTCGGAGACCTCGATGTTGCGGTAGAAACCACCAACCCAGGAAGCGAGGATGAAGATGACGACGAGAACGAGGAGCGTAGTACCGATAGAGTCCATGACAGCCTTGAAGTGGCCCTGGTCCTGGGCACCCTGAACGAGAGAAGCGGTCTTTCCGACGAAGGAAGCCTGGGCGCCGTGGGTGACGATACAGTAGGCCTTGCCGCGCTTGCAACCGGTGGTGTAGTAGACGGTGTCGGTCATGAACTTGTCGACGGCGAGAGACTCACCAGTCATGGCAGACTGGTCGACGGCGATGATGGCATGGCCGAGCTGGGGAGTTCCCTCCTCGCCGTCCTCGTCGAACTTCTCACGGTTGGGAGACA